GAATTGTCAGAGATTCTATCCGGCTGCTCATCGATTTCTCCTCCTCCTTGCCATTTCCATTTTTATCTTCTTTTTCTTTTGAGTTCGATTCCGACGCTGGAGGTGTCTTTGGGCTCGCTTCATGCCAAATAAAAATCGAAAGGTTAATACTCAAAGTGAAAAACAAGAGAGGCATGTCTCTAAACCAAGATGCGAAAAGAAGATTGAAACTTGATGATAAATATTGACACTCGAAGATCATTTGCTCAGTGAAAATGTTTTGTAGAGTATACCTTTGAGTGGTTTTGGAATTGAAGGTTCTTGGGGAGGTGTTTTTAATTGTTCGAAAAGGGCACTACGAGAAGAAATGGCTGAAGACTTGGGAGCAAGCTTTGAAGAATCAGGAGTTACAGATCTCGGGTAGAGTTTTCTAACTACCGGGGGAGGAGTTGAGAGATTTCTTGCATTTTGGCTCTCAAATGTTGCTGCAAGCGCATTAAACGCTGGAGATCTGCCCCTCACACGAACCCTGTCTGGACTAAACGACATGCTTCTTGACCTCTGTTGTGACTTGTCAGGAACGCTGGCACGACCACCATATGAAGCTGGAGTTCTTCGTTTCGGTTTCTACTCATCAAAAGACACAATAAAAGAGATGAATGAACAAACAAAATTTCAAAGCACACTCTGCAGAATCATCAACCAAAAGGAAAAGCAAGAAGAATCTTTACATCTGCAACTGGAGTTCCACCATTTTTGACAATTCTGAGTTTTCTTTGGAATGAGTTTCCATGCATCTGGAAACAAAAAAAAAAAAGTGTTTAACCTTGAAGGTTTCCTTCCATGAATATTTCTCAGGGTGACCAATAGAAGGTGTTCGATACTTACAGCGGATTTTGAGGAATCCCAAGGAGTGAAAAACCGGGTGAAGAAACTTGGCTCACCACCTTCCATGATCACATATATAGGAGCTTCAGGGGATAACTTTTCCAGGAGAGAATCTTTCTCAATGAATTTCTAAGAAAACAAAAGGTATAAATGAGCAACTTGCCAAAACATTCAGGATCTTATGCGACTAATTCTCTCTAGAGTTAAGGTAGGGTTTTGTTTGCAATGTATTAAATGAATCTGACCTCTCCAATAGTTAAAGCTAGCAACTTGTTCTTGGGGACTACTTCTTGGCCAACCCAGACAAAGATCTCTGCGTGACAGTCTACGATAAATATATCTTCCGTCATCAGGTCATCCTGTGTGAAGTTATATATCTCTGTCACCTGCCAAAAATAACAAAAAGAAAGAAAATACTACGGATTGAGCCGCATGCCACATGCATTTTCCAATTATGATTGCATAAGTCTTTAGAGATAAAACAAGATTTCGAAAATTTACCTTCAGGATTTCTGGATTAATTTGCATTTCAGCAATAAAACAAAAAAACAAAATAGAGTCATTGTGTGCATATATCAGCTTCAGCTTGAACTTTTATGAAAAAATATAAGATCTTCTGTACCTTTGGTGAATGTGCAGGAGAACAAGTGAGGGTCACTCTCCGGTTCTTTTGTGAGCTTTTGGCTCGGATATTCGGTTTTGCCTCCTAATAACTCCCAGAACTGTTCTGATTCTGAACCCTCCTTTTGTGCTCTAGTCTGTAGGTTTGGCTGAACAAAAAGAAAAAAACATAACAGATGGTGCTTCAGCTAAAACATAATTATGAGTCTTATATTCGATCTTTAATAATTATGATTGAAACATAATTGACTTATCCTTATATCAATTAAGGAGAAACTTATCTTACCTTAATAAGATCGAGCTGCCTCTCGACGAGTTCCTGGTCAGTTGTGGTTGCTAGATTCCCAGTCCAAGTAAAGACAGAAGAATCATTATGTAGTATGTAACAGTATGAGGAGTTCAGTGATGAAGCAATCTGTTGAAGTAAATCGACAAAATATCATAAATAGCCAAATGCATATGTGACCTCGAAATGGTCCTCACTTCAGAATCATTTCTAGAGATTTAAAACAACGAAGGGTGAGATAATGTTAAATACCGGGTCAACTTGTATAGCTTGCATATTTTCGGGACCAGACCCTTGAATGCGGAATAGAGCAAGACTATTCTCAGTGTATGTATCATCATCAACTTCTTTCTCTGCTACGTATTTCTTGTAGCCACTGCTAATACCACCCTGTAAAGATTCAACAGTTCGATTTCATCAGAAAACAAAATCAGCAGATATTGTATATTCATAAACAAAACATGGATGATAAAAGCACAGTTGCAGAATGAAGATATTTTTTTGCCAAACCTTGAATACGATAAAGCTTTGCATAATCACGAAGAACTGAATGGGTTCCTTTCCTTCATAAATGCGAGCCTAAAGACAAGAGAACAAATTTTTTCAGGTAAAACAGATAAAATCCAATAACATAGACTTTTGGAATGAGTACAAAACACCAATGAGTGCAGAAGAAGATTTACTTGGGCTGGTACAAATTTCATTGACTCAACCATTTTGCTAGCCATGGAGACTGCAGAAGCTCTTTCTTTCTACATATAATCACAAATTGACAATTTAAAAACTATTCGTAACTTGTAAGATTTTAAAGCAACAGAAACAATGTAGCATGAACATAGTCAACAATATCCTGTCTGAAGAGCTCACCTCCACGCTTTGCTTGCCAAACCACGTTCCTATAAGAACTTCTTCTTTTTCTTCTCCAGGATAAGAATACTGGAAAACATAGCAATCTCCACTGTAGAATTTTGAATGATCAGCAGCTTGAAGGAGAGTCTTTTCCTGATCATTCACCCGCCAAACCTGCAGATTTCCTGTGCAATCGATGAAAGCTTGGGTCTCTTCTTTCGGTGGAGCAGCTTTCATCAGTCCTCTCACATTGACTCCTTGCCGTTGCAAAAGAGCTGCAAATGATTGAAAAAAATGACAAAGGTAAGAAACCGATAACATTTCAGTTACGTATAAGTATCTAAAATCATTATCTAAATTTCGGATTAACGGACCAGCAACTCTGCCTCTACCGTCCTCTGACACGGTTGTATTAGTTTCTTGAGTCCAAGTATCAAACTTTGATCGGAATGGCACGGTTTCAAACCCTTCTATTATACGGATCATTTGCGATTTGGGTCTTTCAGATGAACGGATCATTTCCTGTATGACTCTTCTAACATCAGCAAACATTACGGTACACAACAAAAAACATTTTAAAAACTTTCAATTTGATAACAAACTTACTTCGGCGGCTGCACTTGCAATTTTTCTATCATCAAGAGAAGTGGTTCTTCCCATCCAAACAAACACTTCTAATCCACAGTCAAGAATAAAACACTTATTTGTATCCAGCATCTCTCTTTTCAAAGAATCGCCTTCAACAGGATTTGCCTGTCCCTTCTCCACACTTGAAATTCAAGAAATAAAATGTGTTTGGTTAAGGCATTATGAGATCAAAATTACAAATAAGACAAGGTTAAGTTACCAAAATAGTTTGGTGATATCTGAACTGTAAGCTTTTTCTTCATCATTAGCTGTTTTTCTTGGAAGCGGAGCGAATCCACCAAAGAAACCCCAAAATTCTCCACTTTCAGCATCAGCCATAAGTTTCCCATCCTCTGCAAATGAATCATATGCATTTAGAGACCAAAGCAAAGAGATATTAAAGATACTAATCCCTAATTAAACTGCTCGGCTCAC